CATGGAGTTGCTGCTTAACAGTTATCAAATTAAAGCAAAACTGAAGTGTAGCCTGATACTGTTGATTTGATTGTATTAATTGATTTTTCTTGCTTTTGGTAACTGTCTTGCAGTGGATTTATATTTCCCATATTAAATCCTGAAATAAGTCATTTACAACACATGTCCTTAAAATTATTTGTAAAAATATATATATATATGTATGTTATGTATTTAAAAGAACCATTATATGGTTTAAAGTTTGTCTATATCAAGAAATGATAATTGGCTTAGCAAAGATGATATAAACAGTGAAACATTGTTATGTAATGTGTATCCTCACAAAGACACTCAAAACTACCATTTCTCTATTAGGACCTTAAGCTTCAGATTTTTGCAGCTTTCGGATGAATCCAGTAAAAATGCTTACTTTAAAAGAAGTATATCTAAATCTAATGATTACTAAAAGAAAAAGTGAAATGAAGAAATAATCTTTACCTTTATATATATGCAGTTATGTGCTCCAAGTTTAGGTATTTGGCCTATCTCTAAGATAAGTTGGGGAACTTCATTATAAAGTTGGATCTGGGAGAGGAGGCCCAACATGGGGAATGGGGGTAGTCAAACAGTTACATGAATTAGTGGACTTTACATGTGTCCTAAATACTGAAAGAGGGTGTAAAAAAAGGCTGCCAGTTTTTGACAGGCACAGAGGATTAACCACATATGATGGATTATGCCACAACCATGGTTAATAGAACTTTAAGGGTTAAAGAGGTGGAGTTTGGTTAAGAAATAAATATATGAATAAGTGATTAAATAATTATATAAGCATACACTCTGCATTGAGGATAGATTATACTAGTCATAAATCTGTCAGTTTACCTCCGTAAATCCAGATTCCTTTGAGATGTTATAGTTGAATTACAGTTGAAAACATGCAGCTGAAGTCTTTGGAGGTGAAGGTTGCATTAAAAATTATGTTTTTATTGGTGTGCAAAATTGAATCTGTGATTATTTACAAAGGCAGTCAGCACTAGTAGCTAGCAGGGAAATATCCACAGTTGAAGATGGTTTTAGATGCATATATCCTATAGGACTGCACTGCATGTACATAGCCTCCATCAAATATTAAATGCTTTTTGGTTTAACCCTCTCACATCAGATGACAAGTAATCACATCATGGTGAACTGGGCACAAATGCAAATATCAAGTACCAATGCCACATGCAGGCAAGCCTGCCCTAAGTTGTGTATACTAAACAGTTGTTTACTTGTTTATAGCCTCATTGCCCCAAAATATGTATACCACAACCAGAAGTGTAGACAGGTGTAAATGTATGTTTCCCACACTTCTAATTTTTCACTAAAGCAACTGACTCTACATGAATCCCAGAGTGTGGCATAGAAAAAAAACATGACTTTCTAGTTAAACTTCTCAGTTCCATTGTAGGGCAATAAGTGGGAGGAATAGAAGATAACATGACTGCCTAGTGCCCATCACCAGCCACTAAATCCGTTCATGTCAGTAAGCCCAGTAGAAAAAAATTGTTTTTAACCATATTAGAACTAAATTTTGTCTGTGATAGATATTGTATAAGGTTTAAAGAATTCCTGACAAGTTGTCTAGTGTCTCAAAGAGTAAAAGTAGGATCACACATTACTTCAAACATGAGGAATTTGTGTGTCATTGGTGCATCAAAGCATTTTCTCTTCATTGTATAACTAGGTTCCTATGCCTTTTTGAGGTGGTAGGTAGTTTGGCAGGAAATATTTATTTCTGCTATTCTCTGCAGTCAAGAGATTAATAGCCTCTCAGGACACTCAAGACTTTTTTTTCTTACTCCTTCTTCTTTAAGGAGATATATGCTTCTGAAAGCCTGCTCTAGAAATCATGCTTTTAGCATCCCTGTATTGCAGATAACCTAAAGATGATTTGTCTCCACCTTCCTTGCAAAATAAACATTCCAATGAAAACAACATATAGGAAAGAAAAGAATAAGTTTAATTATTGTTTTTAACAGCTTTAGCCTAACTATACCATACTACCTCAAGCATGTGTAATGCCTTAGAGAATGTTGGCTGAGCTTAAAGTGACTGCACTTAGGAAGTGAGTGTTTGGAATTCAGGTTATGATTGTAATAGCCATGAAAGTAAGAGATGAGTAAGAAAAATGAAAAATAAAATGTATACTATTATATCATATAAGGTACCAGATCCTGTTCTTTCTAAATACTATTGTCTTAGGTCTCATATACATTAACTTTTAACAATTATTCTTCATTTTTATTGCTAATCTAGAAATCTTTATTCTTTTGAAGTTTACCTTGTATACTAAGACTTGTTGACTCATACCCTAGTTGTGTAATATGTTCATAAATGCTTTTTATTTTTTTAGATAAGTTTATACATAATACAGCTCTTCTACATAAAACTCCCCCACACCCATTCATTAATTAGGTTGTTAATTTATTTTAATTGCTTGGATAGAAAGATGTTACCTTAAATTTATTTTACTAGA